GGTTTAGATTCCTGGGATGTGGCCACATGAAGCTTGTTTTAATAGAGTTGGCAGAAACGCTTCATTTAGGGTCCACAATCCCCTGCATTGAATTCATTAAGTGAACGCATCTGAAACAAGAAGGGTGGTGGTCTTCTAAAACCATGTGAGGTCTCCTTGGAGGTCAAGGCTTCCAAACAAGCGTTTGGAAGTATTGCATTCATGTCTACATGATGAGGTCTGAAGGAGACAGTGTGACACAGCAGAAAATCACAGTACCCGAAGCTCGGTGGGCCCAGCTTTAAATTCCAACCCTGTCTCTTATTAACTGGAGAGAAGAGTGAATGAGTTTGAAGGAGCAGTGTGGTTGCTGAGATCCAGTCAGGGTTGAGCAAGCATCTCAGTGTGGATGCAAGGAGTAAGAAGCCCATCAGGTGCTGGCCCTGGCACAGAACAGACATTTAACATGTGAGTGTAAACGCTGCGATAACTAAGTTACACCCTGGTCCTCCTCACTGTCTACGTTGCCTCTCTTGAGGACGAAAGCAATGACTTTCATTGGAATAGACACAGAAGCAAAGAAGAGAATTTTTGGTGAGCCTTCTCAGAACTAGCTGTCTGTTGGAGGAGGGAGAAAGCTAGAAATGCTGAGAGAAGTGATAGCCCACCTATCTACCCCAAAGATAGGGTGTTCCTAAGAGTGGACTGGCACACGGGAGCTCACCTCAGGATAGGTCTGGGGAGACCTCTCATTGCTGGTGTCACCCAAACACCTGGGGCCCAAGTTTACTATCTTGTCCTTTTCCTAAAGAGATGAAGTTTGCATAAAACTTTTCACACCTGCTTTCAACAGCTTCACAAACCCACCTTTCGTCTAAAACAATGCCTTTAATCTTCTTACAGTCTGGAAATATCCACAGCCCTTTCATCAGTCCCCCTGCTGTGATCTCCCTCAAAGACATCAACCACTCTGCAGATGCCTTCTGGAAGCTCCCAGAAGTCCACGGAGTTCCCAGAAACTTCCATTTCATCCACTTCAGGAAGCTCAGCTCTACCCATATTTGAAATAGTATTTGGTCAGAGAAAAACACACCCCTTAATAAAAAAAATCATTTCTGAGTGGTTTAAGGTGACTAGATGATGGGGTAGACTTTGCCTTTCCTCTTGCTTGAAGAATTCAAATAATCTATCATGAATCTGCCTCATCTTCAACTGGGAACACTTGGCTAGGTGACAGAAGAGTGGCTAGGATTCAGCACACATCTCAGCTTTTACTGTTTGTCTAACCTGGAGCAAATAATCCCCCACTAGATGCCCTCATGTCCGAGTCTGTAAAATAGATGTAACTACAACAACATCTTTCCTTCTGCAAGCTTTCTTCCCTCAGACCAGTCTCGTTCCTGTGGTCCCAGATGCAAAATCAAATGAACACTTTAAGATAGCTCTAAGAAGGCAGTGTCCTTTCCCCCAATATCATCTGTTTCTATTACACTTCTCATATGCATATGTAAAATATAATAAAATCTCAGTAACCCAAAGATCAAACTGCAAGCTCCCACAGTAAGGAAGGCCTTGGTGTGCAATGGCCTTCAACATCCTCTCTAATGATCGCTAACTGGACCGTCAGGATGTGACTCGGTTGTGCAATGCTAATGAGCTGACAGACTAAAGGGACACTTAAAAAGAATCTTTGGTAGGCCAAGCTCTGAATTTGAGGTCATTCTCTCTGGCAGCAGCAAACAGTCTCACTAATGCCTACAGAAGAATGCAAGCATCTGCAGGCAGTCACCAGGCAGCTTCAGATGTCACAGAAGGAACACAAACCTGGATCCAGGGTCTGCTGTGAGTTCTTGCCAGGAAACGGTTTTCAGCTACTTTGTTTTAACACCTTCACTCCCTGAATTCTCTGTAACCACAGCTGGGGAGGTAAAATGCACCTATTCATGCCTCTGTGAATCTGCATGTGTTTGTAATTCTGGATTGGTATGTGAAAACACTTTGCTATTTATCTTCAGGTTGAGTGACTGGGCCATCTTTCTGGATTGACTTCTCAACACTAAGCCATTAGGAGACACACATACACAGAGACACACATACATAATAGATACAAACACAGAGAGACACACACATACATATACATATATAAATATACAGTCTCCTCACCGTCTCTCTCAGGACAAAACATCCCTCCAGCCACACTTCTCAGGAGACGTGAGACATCTTGATCAATAGTTGGCTGGTTGTCTGCCAACTCCCTGGCAAGGTACACCCTAACCTGGAAGTCTTCAGACACATTTGAGGTACAGCACAGAGTTTCCTCCATCTTGAATTCGGGTTTTTTTTTTTTTTTTGGTTTTTTACGAGACAAGGTTTCTCTGTATTGTTTTCGAGGCTGTCGGTCCAGCCTGGCCTCGAACTCACAGAGATCCGCCTGCCTCTGCCTCCCGAGTGCTGGGATTAAAGGCGTGCGCCACCACCGCCCGGCCCATCTTGAATTCTTACTGAGGCCATTTTAGGTTTAACTAAAATTTGACCTCTTTGATAGAGAACTCCATTTGAAAATTACCCAACTCTATCCCAGGAACCCAAGTTCAAGCTACCCCAGCTAACTTAGCTTCTGTTAAACTGCCTGCTTGTGCAAGACCCCCTACAGATAACTGCTTATCTAAGTTTCTGTTAAACTGCTTGCTTGCATAAAACTTCTCCTTGCAGCTGCCAAGTGAATTACTAGGATGTATGTGGTTTTGCTTTTGAAAACCCCTTACCCTAAATACTTGGGGCTACAGTTGGGTCCCAAATGCCTAAATGTAATCCCAGCTGGCTGGAATAAAGACTTCCAATGGGTTATAAAGTGTATCTGACTGGTCACTCTGGTGAGCAACCCATAACAATGAATATGAGGAGGAATTTCATAAGAAAATATACGTGACAAAGAATGAAAACAAGCAGGGAAATGTCAGCTAGAAAAGATCCAGAACATAGGAGAAAAAAGAGAGAAAGAGAGAGAGGAGGAGAAACAGAAGTCAACTATATAAGCAGGGAAGCAAAGCTGACGTGTCATTGCTTAAATCAAATTGCCCAACATGTAAAGAACAGCATTTGATCTATGGTAAATAATACCAGAATAGGACTGGGAAGCTGGGGTAAAGGGTCAGAGTGCTCATGCTGCAAGCATGGGTACCTAAGTTCAAATCTCTAGTACTCACTTAAAAAGCCAAGCACGTCTGTACAAGCCATAAACCCCAGTAAGATCCAGGTTCAGTGAGGCACACTGTTTCAAGGCAATAGCAAGAAGAAGAATAAAACAAGACACCCAAAGACCTACTCCAGCCTCCTTATGCGCATACATGGGAATGTGCACACAGATATTCCTAAGCATGCACCACACTGCACACATGATTACTCCTCAAGAAAGACTATCAAAACAATTGGATGTCCTCAAACATGTAACATTACTGAAACATTTAGAATCAAGGTTTCCAACCCCTCTTTCCCTCAGCTACTGTGTACAGAACCTTGTGCAGCTCCCAAGCATTTACTGGGGCCTCCCTCATTTTGTGCCTCATCTTATTCCTGGGACACTAATCCCTAGAGCTCCAAGGTCAGCAAGGTCAGAGGCTGCCACGGGTTCAAGGCCAAACAGATACACATCAGTCATAAAGACCATAGCTTCAACATCTGGAAGAGATGGCTTTAATAAAATGTTCTAAAATAATGGATGTACATACATACTAACATATGTGATATATCAAAAATACTCATATATTATATGCTTTGTAAAATTTATTTAAAACCATCCTTCCTAAGTTTATTCATTTACCCCCCTCCCTATTTATTAGCTTACTTAGCTGCATGACTCTGACAAATTAGATGGAATTTTTAATGACTAATCTCTAACTCTCTACCAACCAATATAGGAATGAAAATGTATCCACAGAAATAGCAATTCTTAACGAAAGAATCCAGTTTACTCAACTTGCTGGTAACATGCCTTTCCATCAGGACCCCCACAGTCTTCAAGCACAATAGCTTCTTGTCACATCTAATTTTAACCAGTCATCATGATATAACTAAGAAACTTTAAAACAATCAGCAAGGCCTATGCAGGAGGCAGCCTAAATTCTTGACATTTTTCTCATTGTTTTCCTGCAAAAACACAGGCAGAGAAGGCGATAATCAAGGAAACAGCCAGAGAATCATTACCAGGCCACACATCCGTGTGTGTGTGTGTGTGTGTGTGTGTGTGTGTGTGTGTGTGTGTGTGTGTGTATGTGTGCAGTGTAGCTCCTTCATGAATTAAGATTTGGTCATCTTCCTGTTCTGCATTTTTCTACAAAAGGCAGCGTTAGTTAAATGGCTACTATTTATTGCCAAGACTTATAAAACATATCAATACCTGAAAAATATATCCTGCCTGATCCGATGCAAACATGTGAGTTCTACAGATCTCATGAGAGGGCTTGGAAGAGCTGGGCGTATTCTTGCATGGGTCACCAGGTAACAAACACTGGATAACCCTGGCATGAGTCTTAGGAAGACTCATGAGTCTTGGGAAGAATTGCTTTCAACTAGCCAGTGCCGGAACATTTAAACCAACACAGATTTTTAACACTGAAAGAGGCAACTTATTATGAAGTGATATTTCCTCTTGAAAGTTCTCTTTCCCACTTCTCCACTGAAGGGGAATGCAGCGAAGCGCTAAAAAGGGGAAATGTAATTAAAATCACATTCCCTTCCTGGGGTCAACCGAATTATCAGCCTCTCACCCCCAAACAAATTCACCTCTTCAAGACTGGAGGACTTAATCACTCTTTGGAAAAATACAAACAATGATTAAGATGCCATTTGGACATGACTGGAATTTTTCATGTTCAAGGAACCTCTGAGGGGAGCAGAGTCGACGCATTCTCATTCAAGTGGAATACATATCGCAGGAAGGAATGGTGATAAATGGCACTGCTGTGACCCTCAGGTTAAAGCAAAGGAATATTGGAAAATAAATCTCAATTGTGAATACTCACCAATCCTGCAATGGGGGTTGGCAATCTATTGATCTTTTTTACAAGTCCTGGCTTTATAGCATTCAGCAACCTGTCATGAAAAAGGCAGAATGTCAAGCAAGACATAAAGCAAGATGGATCATACAAATCACCTATATCCAGAGCTATGGCTAAATTGCTGAATAGGAAAAGCTGTGAATTTAAAGCATGCCGTAAATCTCAGTCATCTATCAGCCTTCCTGTGTAAGTAAAGAGCTCTGCCAACATCAAGTCTGTTGACAGCAGGTGGAGTCATCGAGTTTGGAAAGTTAGGAGAGGAGGAAGGAGAGACTGAGAAGTGCTTCATGGAAACGGACAAAGATGTGAGGTAGGCTGAAGCTCAGAGAGAACTGTCTAGAATCAGAGCCAGGTATTACAACCCAGGGCAGGTAAGGCATGTTGCCAATCCTCCTGGCTAAGGCAATGACCTCTCCAGGGATGGACTGGGTTCAGAGACCAACATAGATCTTTGCAAATGATTTGCCAAGACAAACTCTGTCTCCAGACCCTATTTATGCTTTGAGGAGAGTGGCTCATTAGATATGGTTGAGCTTCATTTAAAAACGGAAGAGTGTATTTTCTAAGAGGTTAACCAAACACAAGGTACAAAACGAGGCTGACCATGATTCCCTAGGTACCAAAAAAATTACTTGAACAAATGATTTTTCAGGACAAGCTTAAACACATGTAAAAGTGGAAATACAAGCAAGAGAATGCAGTCTGCAGGGACTATGACCTGCGTGTGAAGAGCTGTAAGAATGGCAAGCAATCTGTAAAATGAAAATACAGTTATCATTGGGGAAAAAGGTAGAAAGTAGTATTTGGAAAGTAGGATGTTCATTAAGGGCTGGCTGGCAGTTATGGATCATAGAATGAAGTACTTATTTAAGAATTAGACATTAGATGATTTGCCTCTGAATACTATGTAAAGAGAAATCAGAAGTTTATTATATCTCACGGATCAATAAGTTACAAACCCATGGGCCAAGGGTGTCCAATATCTGTCTTGTAAATGAAGTTTTACTGGCACACAGCCGCAGCCCAGCCCATTTGTCATGAGTAGTCTGCAGCTCCTCTTGTCTATAGACATAGTGTTCACTGGGAAGAGGGAGAACATATGGCCTACAAAGTGTGCGACTTTCCCTCTGTGGCCCTTTATAGAAAAGGTTTGCTGACTTCTACTCGACTTCCTGCAATCCAAGATTACAGTAAACACTCCAGGCGCCACACTTGAGAGGTTCTACAGGCCACTAACAGAGATTCCTTGAAACACTTCACACAGATGGAGGCAGCCTATAGCGGTGGGACCGGACACTCTGCTTTTGTACCAAAGCTCTTCGTATATTTTCATTACAAATCCCACTCACTGCTCCAGCATATGGTGAGAGTGGCATGGGACACTTGTGTCCCTAAGGTCAGCGTGGCTACTCTTTTCCATGAATCAAGTCAGTCGAGCCATGCCTTTAACCTTTTTGAAAAAGTACTTCTATAAAACCTATTCTGGCGTTATGACCTGGAAGAGACTTCCCATTTTACTGCATAGAAAACCGAGGTCTGGTATTGCTGAGCTACCTCCCCAGAGATGCTCAGAAGCCATACCGGATCCAGTAACCATGTGACCTGGGTCAGTATGTCTCTTAGATGGCATTAAAATGTCTTGTCTTTTGGCTTAAAGGATATAGTGTTTCCAAAGCAAAAAAAAAAAAGGGGGACAGAATTTTAAAAATTAATTTATCATTTTAATTACTTTTTCATACAATGTATTTTGATCTTGTTTTTCTGCTCCCCCACTCCTCTCAGAGCCTTCCCAGTTGCCCACCCACCTAACATTATGTTCTTCTATTCTCTTTCTCTCTCAAAAAAAGCAAAAACCTGCACAGAAACACAAAACCAAAAATCAAAGCAAACAAGCAAAAGATCAATAAGACAAAAAAATATGCCAAAACAAAAAGTCCACAAAAGGGAGTGTGTATGTGTGTGTGTGTGTGTGTGCGCGTGTGTGTATGTGTGTGTGTCTGTGTCTGTGTTGGACAACTATTCTTGGGTATGGGGACTTCTCCGAATTGTGGTTGATATAACTAGTGACACTTCATTGAAGAAAACTGATTTTCTCTTAGCCAGCAGGTATCAGTTGCAAATCGCTTCCTAGTTAGGTGTGGGACTCCATGACCACTTCCTCTTATTAGTGCTAGGATCCTTTCTGGCATGAACCTATGCAGGTCTTGTGCATTTTGCCATTGTATCTGTGAGTTCACATGTGCATTGGTCCTAATGTTTCTGGAAAACATGGTTTACTAGGTTGCATCCATCACCCTGGTTCTTATACTCTTTCTCTTCACATTCATAGTCCCCTAGGCCTTGAAGGAAGGGGTTTGATGAAGACATCCCATTTATGTTGAATAATCACATCTCCCCCTTCCTCCCTCTCCTCTCTCTCTCTGAACAACTGAATGGATAAAATTCTTAGTATGCATTATTTTTCTTAGTAGCTCCTCACAGTGTCATTTAAAATAAAATTATAAAAATATCTGTGTGCAGTATTGATAATTCAAAGGAAACTATATAGGAAAATGTAGAACAACAACTGTTGCTATGGTCGTGTGGGGCCTCAACTTGAACTTAAACACATATATTTTTTAAAAGGCAGATATAACCTATACCATACCATACCATACCATACCATACCATACCATACCACACCATACACTGTCCCCTACTCCTTTTCTTGGCAAAGTAGTCATCCCTCAGTATCCGCTGGGAATTACTTCCAGGTCCTCTTTGAGTACCAAAATCTCCAGATTCTCTAGTCTTTTATATATAAAATGATGTCATTTCTGCATTTTCCACATAATTTAAATTATCTCTCTGTATACTAAACACAATGCAAATACCACCCAGTAGTTCTTCTACTGTATTATTCAGGGAATAATGACAAGAGAAAAGGGTCTGTACATGTTTGATGGGGATAAGTCTTTTTCTCTAAATATTTTTGATTGTGGTTGGCTGAATCCATGATGAAGAGCCTATGGATACAGAGGAGCAACTGTCTGTCCTGGTGGCTGGGCAATCTGCCTTGGAGAGCACATGTTACCAATGCATATGGAAGCTATGTCCTTCCTAATAAACACGGAGAATGCTGGAGAGCTGATGGGGGGCTGGAAGAGCATTCATTCTGAGGATTGCCTGAATACAACATCTAGTTGGGTCCTTTTCTAATGATGTTACTGGCACATCTGTTAGCCTGTTTGATCAACTGTAATACAGGTTCAAACCGTGACTTTAAAGAGACGAGAAACTAGCACAGAGTCCAGCCCATACACTCTCTGGAACTATTTCTCCATGTTTTTGTGTAAGTGTTTTGACCATTGTAAATGGACTGATATACCATTTGTTTAAAGCATTTTAGATGTTAAAAAAATCAAATGAAATAGCATTGCGACTAGGTTTTAAGCCATATTGCTAACTAATAAAAGTAGGGGGGGAAACCTCTCTTCCATAATGTATTGGCTAAAATTCTTCTCAAAAGGCATCCTTTGTCTTTTGTATCCAAGGGACTTATTGATATTTGTAGTAATGATGGTTCTACTCACTCATCTTTCATAAACTCATTATTACAGTCATCCTTCATAGACTGCTCTGATGACAGACACTTCCCTATCCCATGAAGATGTTAAAATAAGTAAAGAAATAAAGCAAACTATGATGCTGCACTTTAATGAAAAGAACGATGGAAAATTACAACCTCTCTCAAACTGTTTCACTGAAAACAAAGCAAAAAAAAAAAAAGAAGGACATATTGCTCTCTCACACATTTAGGATATTTTCAGCTGTGTTTTTCCATGTAAACAGTCTCTCCATTCCATACAGAATTTACAGTATACAGTAATAAAAGATAACATCAAATTCACATTGTAGAGATGCCCAGCACCTGGATTTTATCTTGTATTTTGCCTTAAACTGAGGAAAACTTTCTGTGTATTAAGAAACAATGAGACATGCAACAAGAGCTATGAGGAAGAATATTCATCTATAATCTTACTTAAAGCCACAAATATGGTTCATTGTCACACCACCTATGTACAGACATCATGTGTGAAAAACATATGTAGCATGTAATCCAGTAAACACAGTTCTTAAAGAATAATGCATTATTGAGCTCCTTAAAAAAATATTGATCCAGGAAGGATACCAATGTTTCGACTCCATTTAACAACATTCTGCCTCCCACATGCAGTATGTGGTGGCCTCACAGCCATTTCTTTTTATTTAAATTAAAAACAATATTATTTTACATATCAATACCAGTTCCCTCTCCCTGCCATCCTCCCATACCCCTCCCCACCCATCTCCATCCTCCTCCCCATCTTCTTCCCAGGGAAGGTGAGACCTTCCATGGGGGAATCACATCTGCCCACCCCTCCCCACCCTCCATGTATCTAGGCTGAGTCTCCCAAAGTCCGTTCGTGCACTAGGGATAAATACTGGTTCCACCACCAAAGGCCCCATAAGCTGCCCAGGCCTCCTGTCATGTTCAGGGCGCCTGGTTTGGTCCTATGCTGGTTCCCCAGCTGTCTGGCTGGGGTCCATGAGCTCCCACTTGTTCAGGTCAGCTGTTTCTGTGGGTTTCCCCAGCACGGTCTTGACCCCTTTGCTCATCACTCCTCCCTTTCTATAAATGGATTCCAGGAGTTGGGTTCAGTGCTTAGCTGTGAAGCTCTGCTTCTGCTTCCATCAGCTACTGAATGAAGGTTCTAGGATGGCATTTAAGGTAGTCATCAATGTCATTATAGGGGAAGGGCATTTAAGGTAGCCTCTCCACTATTGCTTAGTCTTTGTTGGGATCGTCCTTGCAGATCTCTGGACATTTCCCTAGTGCCAGCTTTCTCTTTAAACCTATAATGGCTCCCTCTATTAAGGTATCTCCTTTCCTGTTCTCCCCGGATTCAATCTTCCTGATCTGCCCATGTTCTTCTCCCCCCCACGCTTCTCCCCTCCTCTTTCTCCTGTCTCCCTCCCCTTCTCCCTCCCCCATATTCCCAATTTGTTCAGGAG